TTCATTATTCCCACGAACGCGGTGGATAAGATTTCTATGATAGCAGCAGTCCTTCATGACATGTCGTCAGGAGTTAGATAATAGGGACCTATTATCTACATCCTGATATCGTGGTAACAGCCAGGGTACGTTCCGGTATACCGGACCGTACCCAGGGTACGTTCCGGCAGTACCCTGAGGGACATAGACCCTCTCAGCCTGACTGGCAGCCGTGCTACGCACATCCTGATCTCTCTCCCCCTTGTGATATTGCCCTCTACACTGTTATCTTTATCACTCGCTTCTTCAGCTGCATATTCGAATATCCGAATTTTCTACGAACATTTTTTATATAACAGTTCACGTGAGGTTGCGACAGACATATGCAGGAATTCAAACAAAATACATAGTGTTTTGGCGACTTCGAACGTGAATATAGTAACTCACATGTGCCTAACACTCATAGGGTCTATGTCCCCCAGGGTACTGCCGGAACGTACCCTGGTCACTATTTGATATGGTTAGGGTTCGGGTTAGGGATAGGGAGTAGGCGTAGGCGACTCCCTAGACTCGTTAGTGGAGTAGGCGAGGTACGGTCCGGCATATTAGATAGTACCAGGGTACGTTCCGGCAGTACCCTGGGGGACATCGACCCTCTCAGCGTTACGCACAGCGAATTTTTGAAGAGGAATAATGGTCAAAATGTTTATTCAGGTTTTATTAACGTAATTATGTATTATAATATATATAAGTATAAATATATCAAGTTGTGATAGTTATATTAATCTGATTTATTACACATATACACACTTTATAACTATCTTTCACGCCAGATGGCGCCAAAGAGTCAAATTTGAACGCAGCATCAGAGAGAACGGGTACTTACATCTTGTGTGCCCATAGATATCATATAACACTACATATCATATACATATACATAATATAGTAAATATAGTATATATTATAATATATATAAGTATAAATATATCAAGTTGTGACAGTTATATTCATCTGATTTATTACACATATACGCACTTTATAACTATCTTTCACGCGAGATGGCGCCAAAGAGTCAAATTTGAGCACAGCATCAGAGAGAACGGGTACTTACATCTTGTGTGCCCATAGATATCATATAACACTACATCATATCATATACATATACATACTATAGTATATATAGTATACATATACATATATAAATAATTAAAATATACATTATGGCCATACACATTTACAATCACACCATAGTCACACGAGTCACACCCATTGGTCGCCAAATCCCATTGGTCGTGTTTTGCTTATTCTAGCCAATCCGCGTGCAGGATTATCGCGTGTACGTTTATCAACAAAAAGAGCCATCTCGGACCACAGTGTGATGTTATCGTCGTCTGGACGGGTGCAATTCCGTGTTTGTATAAGTTTGTAGGTATAAGCTGGTAACTATTTGCTAATCACAAGATTCGGCACAGTACGATACCACATGAATCTGTCTTTTGCTGGCTGTGGTTTTCTTGGGATATATCACGTTGGTGTGGCTTGTTGTTTTCGCGAATATGCTCCCAACGTGGTTCTACCCACACCGGATAATGAGGTTGTTATGTCTGGAGCATCGGCTGGCGCTCTCACCGCTGCTGGAATCATCTGTAACTGTGATCTCGGTGTGTATACAATATTCCAATGTTTTATAAAATATTAGGTTTAATAATGGTTGCATGGACAGTAATAGTATTATAGTAAATATGGACATGGACTTGGACACAGTATTCAGTAATGGACAGTGGTTGGTGACTTCCAGGTGAAGTACCCGAAGGATGAATGCG